TCAGAGAGGGCGGGGTGAAGGGCGTGTCCCCGGACGACCGAGCTTGAGCACAGAATGAATGAGGGAAGGTGGGGAGGGACGGCGAATTCTGCTGGCTGAGGGTTTTCTGCCGCCCGGAATTTTTTTGCAGCCCGGATGGAATAGCATTGGTTTATTTAGTTGCTCGCATTTATTCGCTTGACGTATATCCGTGCCTTTTTGCGCTGGCGAGCGCTCACAATGGCCAAGGGCATTTAAAAATATATATACTAAAAATTAAAGATTGCAATACAGTCTATGGGAAGCAAAAGTTGGACTTTAAGGAAGCAGGATAGGAAGAGGATTGACGCTTTGGAACTTGGGGGATGGAGAAGACCCCTGAGGATACCAAGGCCAGACAAGAGAACAAACCGATGGATCACTGAACAAATCAACCCAGAGTTCTCCCTCGAGGCACAAATGACCAGACTCAGATTATCCTACTTCAGACACGTTATGCAAAGGCCCAGCTCTGGAAAAGGTTCTAATGCAGGGAAAGGTGGAAGGAAAGCAAAGAAGAGGACGACCAGCAGCAAGGTGGATGGACTGAGTTACAGTGGCGATGGGTGCGCCATTGGAAGACCTGAAGGACCAGGTTAGGGACAGATCATCATGGAGAAAATCTATTTACAGGTAGTCCTCACTTAATGACCACTATAGGGACTGGAAAATTGGTCATTAAGCAGAGCAGCTGTTAAGTGAGTCACCACATGATGGACCCTATTTTATGACCATTTTTACAACGGTCGTAATGCAAATCACTGCAGTTGTTAAGCAAATCATGTGATCGTTAAGCAAATCCAGCTTCCCCAATGAACTTTTTTGCCAGAATTCACTTAATGACCACGTGATTTGCTTAAGAACTACATGATTTTCTTAACAACCACAGTGATTCACTTTATGACCATTGTAAAAAAGGTTGCAAATCACAATCATGCAATAGCAAGGTGGGTGCAACAGTTTACAATGGTCATAAGTTAAAGTACAGGTCGTAGAGCACTTTTTCCAAGGCCATCATAACTTTGAACCATCATTAAATGAATGGTTGTTAAGCGAGGACTACCTGTATGTGGTTACTAGGAGTCAAAAATGACTTGATGGTACATAATCAACTGAAAGCTCTGCAGGTCTCATAGATTTTCTAACTGAAGGCAAACAATAGATTTAATGCTTAGATTTGATAAACAGAGTGCCTGAAGAACTATGGACAGAAATTTGTAACATTATTAAAGAGGAAGCAAAGAAAAATATCTGCAAATGTAGAAAGCAAATGAAGGCAAAGTTTCTGTTGATACGTACATTGAAAATAATGGAAAAAAAGCAAAAGGCAACAAAAACAAGAAATTTTGCCCAACTAAGTGCTGAGTTCCAGAGAAAAGCAAGAAAATACAAGGAATTATATCTAAGTAAGCAATGTACAATAATGGAAGGACAAGAGAGAAAGAAAGAGAAATCAAGGGAAACTTTTATGCAAAGATTTGCACAATAAAAGACAACGAAGGCAGAGATCTAAAGCAGAAAGAAGATATAAGGGAGAGGTGGTGCAAATTACTGAAGGATGTACAAATAAGATTCTAAAAATTAAAGGTACCTATTAAGGTAGGATCAGTGATGGAGAGCCAGACATTTTGGAAAGTGGAGTTAAAAGGACTCTAGAAGATATTGCTCACAACAAAAATCTTGCCAATGATGTAGTTGCAATTCTTGGAGTCTGAAGGCAGTGGTCAAGGGTATGGGGAAAACACAGCAGTGGTCAAAGGTATGGGGGCCATCTGGATCTCTGGGGAACCTCATTCCAGAGGGCAGATGCTGCTACAGAAAAGGCACGCTTCTGGGGTCCTGATAGATGACATTGTTTAATTGAAGAAGTGTGCCACCTCTGCAGACTGAATCAGCGAGACAGATACTACGGGAGACAAACAGTCCCTCAAGTAACCAGGCCCTATCAAACAACTCTCAGCAAGGTAGGAGTGTAATAAATAAATAAAGGAATATACTTTTTTTTTTCTCCCATACCCTTGGCCATTGCTGTGTTTTCCATACCTGCCTTCAGACAGCAAGATAGCACTTAAGAACGTTCAGACTACTGATATACCACAAGATGATGCTCAAGATTTTGCAATCCAGATTTCTACAATACATGGAACAAGAACTGCCAGATATGCAAGCTGGAATCAGAAGAGGCAAAGGAACCCAAAATTACATTGTTATGTATGATAAATAATAGAAGAGGCAAGGGGATAGACCTCAGCTTTTGCTTTATTGATTATATTAATGCAAACATCTTATAACTAATGAAATGTGTTTAATTGTTCAGAATATGGAAAGGGACTATCATTTATATATCTTACATACAGAAAGTAGAATGAAAAATGCTGGACCAGAAGAAATGCCAGTTGGAATTAAAACTGCTGTGAGCTACATCCACAGTTTCAGACAATGTGGATAATACAGCTTTGATGGCCAGAAGCAAGGAAGAATTAAGGTATCCGTTCTTGTAAAGGAACGGAGAGAGTGTAAAACTCTTCTGCTGTTCAGTATTAAAAAACCTAAAATGATGTCAACAGACAGTGTCAACCTTACCTGATGCAAAAAGATGGAGCTAAGTTGCAAATGGACAGGCTTTATTTTTCTAGGCTCAAAAATTCACAGGGATGGTAACTGTAGCCATGAAATACATGATATCTGTTACTTGGGAGAAAAAACTATGACAGATCTAGACAAAATATTGAAGACATCACAATGACAACAAAGATGTATATTGTCAAGGCCATGGCTTTGCCAGTTGTAACAGATGACTGTGAAAACTGGACATCAGAAAGGCTGAACACAGAAAAACAGACGCCTTTGAATTGTGGCACGAGAGATAATGGTTGAGAATATCTTAGATCTCAAGAAAGAGAACTCATTCAATAAGAGACAAAGTGAAACCAGACTCTTCATTGGAGGCAATAATAATGAAGCTACAGCTGACATATTTGGCCACGTGATATGAAGGCAGGAATCATTGGAGTAGATCCCGATGCGTGGGAAAATCAAAGGCAATCGAAAAAGAAACCAAGAGAGGACAAGGTGGACTAGATGCTATCACTGAGGACACCAGAACTGTAGGAGCTTATAAGAACTCAAAGAAACCATTTGGGACATAAAAATTCTGCTGAATTGTCTGTTGGGTCATGAAGAATCAGAAGCAACTGAACAAAGCTGTTTTAAAGCTACCCCCCTTTTCTCTTCAGATTAAAGTCTAAAGCTAGTTTTCAAGTTATATAGAGGCAAGGGAAGATGGCTTGGTCCACACACTGCAGTAAGCTATGGTTTACCTAAACTTGATTTTTGAATCCAGTTGACTGGATTCATACAACACACTAGGCGCAAACCATGGCTTATAAATCACAGTGGCCACATTCACATAACATCCTGAGGTTAAGCCAAAAACAATTCACATTATAATTTAGCATGATGTGTCAACCAGGTTTATGATATTCCTCAAAAAAAGGTCTCTTGTAAAGTAAAGGCTTTATACCTGGTGATTTTATGGACATGTCTGTCTACTTTTCTTGGCATAATACAGAAGT